GGAGGAGGAGGAGGAGGAGGAGCAGGAGGAGGAGGAGGAGGATGAGGATGAGGAGGATGAACAGGACGAGGAAGGGGAGGAGCAGAATGAGGAGGAAGAGGAGGACGAGGAGGACGAGGAGCGAGCTGAAGCCGAGAGGCATGCGGATCAGGGCCAGCACAGCCCGATGTGCTTGACGGCTTCACCTTACCCCCCGCTCAGACCACCGCCCAAGGGACCCGAAATGGTAGCCCGAGCAGGGGGGTGAAACCGTCAAGCCTCCAGCAGCGGCGCGGCTCCTCGCGGGCGCCGACGGGAGCACGGGGCCTGCGCCAGGTCCGTGGTCACCTGCTTGTCCCCAGAACGCAGGGCCCGCAGGACGGGGACGGGCCCCAGCGTCGGCACAAGGGGGGCCGATCTCCAGGGGACCCAGCGCGACGAGGGCGGTGCCGAAGTCCAGCACACCCAGCGCCAACGCCACGAAGCTGGACCCCTGCAGCTCCAACAAGCCATGGTTATTCACGAACTTGGTGCACGAGCCGCACCGTGGCAGAACGAGGTGAACACGGCCAACACACAGGGTGCCCATAGGGTCAGCAAATTGCAACTCCAAGGGTCCAGGAAGGTCGTGCCCACCTCGGCGACTTGAACCTGCACGAGGCAGGATTTGAACGCTGAACAAGTTCAGGGGAGCGTCCAAACCAGCGGGTGTCAAACACCACGAGCCACTGGTCTCCGACAGGACACTTACACCAGAGCAGGGTCGACCTCGTCATCACTACCATCTTCTCGAGCAGCCCCCAACTCCACACACTCGGGGTCAGTTAGGCCGTGGTCCGCCAGGATACACGCCGTGTCGAGGTATCTTTGGGGTTCGGCCCTGATCTTCCCTTCGGGGCGACTGACGTACACTTCATCTCTCAGCGGATCCTGCCACCCTTTGGATCTGCACAGAGACCTTCTCACGTCATCTGATGGCCTGCGCGCATGTCGGAGACGAACATGCTTGCGCAGGCTCTGAGGGTGCCTCATTTCCTCGAAGTGTCGCGTGTTCTCATGCACCCTGCCACTGCCTCCGAGGCGTCCACAGTATCGGAAATCAAGCCCACGGTGATGGAGGCGAGCCGTGTCTGAGTATTTGCAGCAGCTGGTACAGAACGAGAGAGCGTGCCTGACCATCAACTGAATACTCCAGCAGCGCATGTCCCTGAACCAGCCATGGCCAAGGGAGAAACGCCTCCATGGCAGTCGCATCCTGAACGGGAGACACCACTGCATCCTCCTCAGGTTCAGGAACACAGGTAATCGCGAAACTCCTTTTCCTGCTCTGCGCGATATAGGTGAGCAGCATCTTGTGACAACGACAGGCTCCTCTGACAAACTTCTCTTGCTCGTCACTGGCCGCATGTAATCTCGCCCCAGCCTTGGCCAGGTCGTCGACCTGCGCATTGCAGCTTCGATCAAAGTCGCTTATGATGCCTTCCCTGACTTCGGCCGTGAACGTGTGGGCCTTCACGTGGCTGAAAGTAGCATGGCATAACTCGTCGTTCAACGCGGCTCTCTTCCACGTATGGGCCCGAGAGTTAGCTGGCCCACACGCCGAACGAAGTCTGTGGCAGCATCCCACCGAACCCTTGCAATCCGACTTGACATGATACGTGCCCAGGACACGCTGCGACAGCATCATCATCATCAACGCGTAGTCCTCCCCATCTCGAGCAATTTGGCTGGGCCCTTCGGCGCGAGGCAGAACGAGGGACAGCGCCAGGATACCGAGCAGCGATGAGGAGGAGGAGGAGGAGGAGGAGGAGGAGGAGGAGGAGGAGGAGGAGGAGGAGGAGGAGGAGGAGGAGGAGGAGGAGGAGGAGGAGGAGGAGGAGGAGGAGGAGGAGGAGGAGGAGGAGGAGGAGGAGGAGGAGGAAGGGGAGGATCCGCAGCCATTGGCTCACGACTAAACATCTTGTTGGGCTATAGACGGCCGAGAGCCAGCGATTAGCTCTGGCCTCTCCGTGGCCACTCTCGCGGCCGCCAGGGGGGCCAAGGCGTGTCTCTCGTTGCCGTGGCGGGCGGCCCCGTTCGCCGTGGCCACCAGCTTCGAGGGCAGACTCCGCGTCAAGGGAAGAGATGGCGCCAGCCTGGACGTGCGGCACGCGCGGGTTCTACAGCTCGGGCCGCCCAACAGGGGGCCAAACCAGATGGGGTTGGAGGATTGCGCCGCATCGGCGATGCATCGGCGATTCGGCTCGATGTGCAGCACTACTTTCTCCACGCCGACGTCGCCGACGCGTCCACGTCTGCGATGCATCTGCGATGGATCGGCGGTGCGGCGCGACCCTCCGACCCCATAGATACTCGGACCCCATGTAGGAGGCCTGTATATATTCCTCCTTTTCATACAGAAGTCCCCTCAGGCCTCTGGGGGCTTCGGGAGCCCCGACGGAGCACCGCCCGAGGACGTCGACGCTTGGTCGGGTGTTGCTGGAAGTGCCCCTGGCCCAAGGTGCCCCCAGGATTCTCTGGGGTGGCCCAGATGGCCTCCCGAGTACCCCTCCCGAGGCCCTGCCCAAAATGGAGCGAAAAGCTGGGGGCACCTTGGGCCAGGGGCACTTCTAGCAACACCCGACTTGGATGTTTTAGTACTTCGATACCTCGATGCCTCGATACCTCGATACCTGGACCCTCCCACTCCCGATACTTCGATACCTCAATACCAGAACCGTCGATGCTTCGATACCTCGAAACTTCGATGCCTCGATACCTCGATACTTCGATACCTTCATACCCCGATGCCTCGATACATCGATGCTTCGATGCCTCGATACTTACTCCCGCTCGATCCTCCTCAGAGGGAGCGCGGGGCGCCGCTGGGGGCGCCTCGCTTGGGCCTGCCGCCGCGCGAGGATCGTGAGCCACCGGCGCAGCGCCGCGTTCACGAACTTGGCGCGAGGGGGGGGCGGGGAAGGGGGCGGGCCGGCTTTGCTCGAGGAAGAATCGACAGGAAACGGTTTGGCTGCACGCAAGAGTGACCCTTCGCCGGAGTGACTGTCGGTGCGCTGCTTTAGGGAGGCGCTGCAGGGCCAAGCCCAAGCACGCAGCCCGCCACTGCCGCACCGCAGGCAACGACAGGCAACGACGTCACTCTTGCCTAGGGTCACTCTTGCGTGCAGCCGACGAGAAGATACTGTAGGTTCGGGTCGTGTCGACGCGGTGGCGACCTCGCCGATGGTGGTCAAGGTTGATCGCCGCCACTGGCCCAAAATGGGCCAAGAACTATCTGGCGATCGAGAAGCGGCCTATCGTTTAAGGTTGAATGATCCACCCGGCGGGGAGGTTCTCCTGGAAATCGAATATCTGCTCGAAGAGAGAGAGGACACGCTAACATGTGAGGCTTACCAACACGGGGCCCGTGCAGATAGGATCGGAGGATTGCGCCGCACCAGCGATGCGTCGGCGATGCAGCTCGATGTGGAGCCTGATTTTATCATCGCCGACGTCGCCAATGCGTCGACGTCATCGATGCATCGGCGATGCATCGGCGATGCGGCACGATCCTCCGACTTTATCTATTCGGACCGCGTATGGGAGGCCTTTGGGGGGGCGGCTCTGCTGGAGAAAGAAGATGGAGGAAACGCGAACATGGATGAGAGCACGTGGATCAGCGACGGGCCCCGCTTCCATGCAATTGTCGGCGCGCCCCGTCGACACATCAGGCGGCATTGGGCTTCATGCTTGGGGGGGGTGGACTTTTAGTGTGCGCCGCGCCGCGTTCAAGAACCTGGTGCGGGGGGGGGGGGTGCTCTTCGGGGGCAGCGCCGGGTGGGGACAGGCTCAGGAAGGAACGCATCGGCCCCCAATCGCCCACTCTCAGGCGATCGCAGACATGGATTAAGGGGGCGTGGCGTGGTTTAGCGACGGGTCCCGTTTCCATGGGAAATCGCGGATTTCCGGCGCCGAGCGAGGCGGCACTGGACGCATTTTTGGGGAGGGCACTTCCCCCGATCCATGGATCTGGCGACCGCGCGCCTAGTCCATGCTTGCGCGCCCCCGACAGTCTTCGCCGAGAGGGGCTCGGCCGCCCACCTCGCCCAGGAACGTGCCAGCATTTGCTGCTGGGGGCCTGCCGCCGCCTCTCGGCGCTGCATCGCCGACTGCACAGCGACGCTTCCCCCCATGAGCCAGCTCCCCCACGATCGCTCCCCCTCGAGGCATCGACATAAATAAGCCGACCCAAGAGATCCGCGCAGAGCTTCTCTGTGCTCCAAATCCCTTATTGATCGACCCTCCCCTAAAAAATTGGACTTCCCTCCAAATGTGACCTAATATTCTGGACCCCCCCCTTTGACGAGGCGCCTTGATAAACCGGACCCCCTAAGCTCCAAACCAGAGAGAACGCTCTGATACCCCGGACCCCCCCCCGTTACAAAAAAGGCTCCTTAAACATCCGGACCCGGGGGACGATTCATAAGGGATTTGGAGTAGCCATTTTGGCTCAAGCCTCCCAAAGTGTTCTACAGCTGCTCTCGCCCTTACATGCCGATTCGATGCAGAGCTTCCCCGTGCTCTTCTGCTGCGCCGCCAGGCTGGTCAGCTCCCTCCAACATCCCCAGGCGTCCGCCGCACCCGCGCCGTCTCCGCCCCTGGCGGCTGCCGCAGACGCTCCCTCGCGGCGGGACCGGCCGTTGCGTTCTCCACCCAATTCGGCGGTCGAGACCGCATCATGTACAGAAAGAGAATCCTTCGTTGATCGAGGACATGGGTGATGAGGACGTCGGTTTCACTCGATGGGCTGGGGCATCTGGTCGGACGGGGGAACAGCTTATGATCAACAGTTTGCAAACATACAATTCGGCATGGCAGTTCGTATACCAGGCGATGTAGTCGTAACATCTTTGCGATGACAATGTATTATGTCAGTGACGATTTCGAATCTCACGCCATTCAAGACAAAAATAAAGCCCATGTGGGCATCGAAGTTTTTCAAGATACGCTGGATTGCCGGGAGAAGCCAAGTGCGCCGCGGAAGCGCGGCATGCGCAGCATAGCAGACGACGTGCCCGCCACCGACTCTGAAGGATTCCTCTTCGCTGCGCGCGACATCGCGTGCGCGAGGCCTTGCAGCGATGACGCGCAGAGAAGCCGACGGCGGATGCGCGACATTTTCCGACAGAAGCTTCCCCTGACGCCTATCAGGAAGGGAGGGCCGCTTGTGGAGAACAAGCGGCCCCGTCCAAACCGCAATGGACTCATACTGATGCGCCAGTGGTTCTCGAAGGTGTTCCGCCATAGGCCATTTTGTTACTCCCAGGGCAAAGACCGAATGGACGAGACGTTCTTACACGCTGCCCCGACCTACGACGTCGTGGATGGCCAGGCCCAGGTGGTCGATACGCTGTCGCAGAACTGCGACCACCATTCCTGCCACTACCTCGGTGCCACCACTGCCGCAGCTACCACCGCCACCTCTACTTCCCACCGCCAACACAACTGCCACGACTACCACCAGCAGTGCGGCCACCACTGCCACTAGCACTACCTCCACTGCTGCCACCGCCGCTGCCTCCATTTCCACCACCACCACTACCACCCCCACCCCCAACCACCACCACGTCCACTCGCGTCCAATCCCACCATCCTCGCCACCGCCGCCGCGGCGAGGCTCCCTGCTGTCGGGCCACAGGTGGCCTGCCCGGGGGTGGTAGGCCTGTCCGCGGATCGGCCAGCCGCGGCGCCAGATCCGAGGGCGATTGAATGAAGGCGCGATGTCTGGTTTGCTTCAAGGGCCAGGCCCAAGGGCCCTGGCGCCGCCAGCCCTGGGCTCCCTGGTAAGCCTCGGGGGCGGCGAGGCCCTGGCGCCCAAGGCCCTGGAGGCCGCAGGGGGTCCAGGCCCCAGAAGCCCCAACCTGGAAGCCCCTGATCCCTGACGGCCACGGGGGCCTGCAGAGCCCGCGTGGAGCCCACGCAGGCGGGCACCCAAGCCTGTGGGAGAGGAAAAGTGCAGGGATTTTTGTTGGGGGAGGGGGGTGGGGCGCAGGTGGCGCTGCTGCTGCTACCACCATTGCACCCACCACAACCACCGCCCGCCGCCCCTACTTCCACCACCAGCACTGCCGCCGCCATCGCCACCGCTGCGACACAACTACTTCTACCCCCCGCCACTATTGCTACTATCGCAATTTCGATTGCCACTACTACTACTACTACTACTACTACTACTACTACTACTACTACTACTACTACTACTACTACTACTACTACTACTACTACTACTACTACTACCACTACCACTACCACTACTACTACTACTACTACTACTACTACTACTACTACTACTACTACTACTACTACTACTACTACTACTACTACTACTACTACTACTACTACTACTACTACTACTACTACTACTACTACTACTACTACTACTACGATTCCCACTTGCACCACATCTACTGGCCTAGAACCCAGAACTTGTCGATACGCAAAGCTGATTTTGAGCCTGAGCCGCTTCATCTGCACAGAATTCTTTCTACACCGATTGCCGCTTCAGCAGCAATTTTCCCACTCTGAACTATCGCTGTTCAATTCTTCAGACAAAAACGGGAATGCTCGATATCTAACCAGGACGACAATTGGTATAGTCAGAATCGTGTGCAAGTACGGGAACCGTGGCAAATTCCGTGAGCATCGTTTTCTTCGAGCCGTCCTTTCAGCAATTGAGCTGCTCTGACCAGGACTGCGCTGCGAGAGGGTCCCGGGCCCTTTCGGGGACCTCCTGGGGGCCGCCTGGCCCCTTCTTTCGGGCCTCCCACAGGGCTCCTGGGGGCCTTCTGGAGGATTTCTCCTGAGGGGCCCGTGGGGCCCCCCTAGGGGGGGGGGTGCTTGGCGCAGAGCGGGCCAAACTGACAGACGGGATGCTCACGAGACAGCAGGCGCCCCAATTGCCCTGCAATCTATGGGTTCAAAGGAACATGACATGGATTACATTGACCTCGTATTCACGTCGGGGGCCGAGGTGGTGGACCACTCGGGCGACCAAAGGAATCGCGTCGAACGCGAGGAGATGTATGATGGAAGCGCAAGCGACCAGGGTTTGCATTTTACTCCGACGACCAGGGGCTGTACATTCGGGCCACCAAAGGCCACGGCCGACCAGGCATCCAGGGCCTGGAGAGCCAAAGTCGCCCCGTGACCAACAGTGCGGACGAACGGAGAGTTGTCCATGGCGCAATGTTCACATACCTGCCCTGCCGTCCATCATTATGATTAGTCTTTCGCGTCGCACCGAGGACGATCTCCGCCGTGACTATACCGGCAAGAGGAGGCAGGGGCGCCAGTTCATCCACGGTTACCCGCGCCTCCAAGGGGTCCCTCGAGTTCAGAGCGGTTTCCGCAGGGACACAGAGCGTGCTTTCTGTATCCTTTCCGGTTCTACTTCGCGAGCGCGTGAAGGTATGGGGGTCAGCCAACGACAGGTTGTTGACCAGCGGAAGCGCAATTCCACATATCGCCTCGCTTAATTGCGCAGGTGGTGGCCATGGCGGGGCAGCAACAAGATCAGGTGTGGCACGACCCGCTGCACTTCGACTATGTGTGCCACTGCCGGGACTACCGCGGGGGCAGCCGCTGGACCGCGGCTGGCATTTCCCCGAGACGCCTTTCGGCTTGGGCGTCGAGACCCCGCTCTGCACCCTCGGGTGCGCGACGGTCCACACGATCCATGGGTCCAGCGGAAACGCTCCTCATCGTCATGCGGGCGCGCAATCAGATCTCGGAGCGAACTCGGCCAGGTCATGGCATCTCCCAAGTCCAGCACCGCCAGGGGGAAACATGACCCCAGCCGCCATTGACGCGGCCGTCGCCCAGTTGGCCCACTTCGACCCGTGGGGAGCTGCGGCAGGCCTCCAGCAGACGATCCGCCCCGCGAGAGGCGTGACTGCTCCGCG